TTTGTATGACATAAGTATGACATATATACCATTCAGACTCTGAATAAGAACATCTTGTCTCATCCTCCTACTTCAGAGACCCTTAAACACAGTTTCATATGTTTAGTCGGATTTAATGCTGCTTTGAACATAATTTCCGCTAAGTATCATGGCTTTGAACAGAATCTCAGTTAAATATCATAGCTTTGAACAGAATTTCGGTTCAATATCACAGCTTTGAACAGAATTTTGGTTCAATATCACAGCTTTGAACAGAATTTCAGTTCAATATCACAGCTTTGAACAGAATTTTGGTTCAATATCACAGCTTTGAACAGAATTTCAGTTCAATATCACAGCTTTGAACAGAATTTCGGTTCAAGATCACAGCTTTGAACAGAATTTCGGTTCAAGATCATGGCTTTGAAAATAATTTGAGTTAAATATCACAGCCTGGCTGTGTAATGTGTAATGAGTGATGAAAAGTGATGGTCAAAGTGACCACGTTGTACACATCACTTCAGCACAGGTATGGTGCTGACAAACCAACAATCATAATCTGGATGAATCTGCAATTACAACAATCAGCATATCCTGGTATGACAAGGGCAACAACTGTGAATTGAGAGGGCCTGCGACAACTCAATTTCTTATAATTGCATATCATGACTTGGACGGATAATCTTGACAACCACACAGTACTGTAACCACATTGATAATCACATGGTGATTTTTGCCACATCTACTAACATTTCTATATGTCAAGTAAACTCAGTTAATACCAACTCATATATCCAATTCTAAATCCACAGACAACAATGTCAAAAGACAATTTTTGGTTTGTAAACGCAAACATTTTTTCTACTGACTGCTTGTACCAAGGCACCAAGTATCATGACATTTTCTACACAATAAAAGCTTACAAAATGTCTTTCATCTGTGTCTAGCTTACTCAGAATCCGTCCCTTGCCAAAACAGAATTTGAGTTTTCACGAATGAACTATTGTAACAATTTTCCCATTACTACAATCCTATAGCAATGGCCACTTTGTTATAATCCCTAACAGATTATTCTCCATAGATCTGTTGTTATATCCGAGGTAAGTATTCAAATGACATTAATTAAAAATGATTCTGTCACACAAGATATGAATAACATACAAGTTGTATATAAACATCTTTTCCCATTAAAAAAGCCACCACGAAAAGCACCTTGACACACCACCCAGTCGTACACACACTGTACACCAGCAGGTATCGGGGTTTAACACACACACGAGATCACAGAGTTCATCATTTGTTTTCTTTCGCAACTGTGCCAACAAACAGGTTCCCAGAGTAATGCACTGCCAACTCTGCCTTGATCTGGGATAAATATATGATCAATTAAAAGGGTGTCTCCATATTTAAGCCAGACAGGCCGAAACACGCCACAAAAGACTCACATAACCACCACGACAGCTTCGCTATACGTGTGTTATTTTAAGATTGCAGATGTTATGGTGATATTTACACGCTGTTGTCAATTTCATTTCTGCACCAGATTGGTCGACATGATAGACATGGCTGCTATTTATTTATCAAGTTTAGTCTGGAGAGGGTTGCATTCTAACCCTGTTGATATTTACATTGCATAACATGGCATTTATAGCTTGATACAGATTTGACTGATAGATGCACAAGATGTTCCAGTGACTGGGTCTACACAAGGTGGCTTTTTCCTCCCTCATTTGTTTCAATATTCTATATTACTTTCAAAACATTTTCATTGCTTTTTATCAGCTTTTAATTCAATATTCCAAATTCAAATTCCCTTTCTTTTAAATCAGAGCAGTGATCTTGAAAACATTTGAATTTGGCCTTTCTGTGGCTAGTGACATTTATCGGGATTTGCTTTTTACTCAAAAGGAACAAGATCCAATCCAAGATATTACAAAGAAACCTACACACCCAAAAGATGTTGTCTCAAGAATGCCTTTCCTCATGTGCCATGTCTCATATTTAGCGCCCATCTGTAGATATATTACCAACAAATGTCACTGAACTGCTCCCAAACTATCCAAAAGGTTACGAGAGCATATTACTCAATTCTGTTTACAGATAGGGTGATATGGCTTTGATGTCTGCTGATGAAATGCGTTACGGGCAATAGGATCATGATGAAGCACACACCACTAAGCCTGTCTCTCCGTCAGCATCACATACCATTTCTCAACGGAACCTTCCGCTTAATCACATCTTGGAAGCTCCAGCCGACACTACAGCCCGCCTGACCAACTCCTTGACCAGAGACTGGCCACTTGGACCTGACCAAGTTGTAATGGATGAGGGATTATCAGAATCAGGGAGATGGAGGTCGAAACCTCCTGACTTCTGTGGCAACATCAATATTTCAAAGGTTCTTTTTGTGGGTCAGGAACCACTTAGAGTGAGATGTTTACAAGTGGGTTAAACGAAACGTTATGTCCATCTGATGACTACCTTTCAGCCTCAACAGGAAATGATTCCCTCTTGATTTAAGACGGTCAAGTGTCCCACTGACCATTATTATAAGGGTGTTATCAACACATTGAAATGTAAAACAAGCCGTCCTAAAAACATCCTTATGTTCAGGACAATTTGCCGTCCAAATGCATTTCCATTTTATGAGCTACCTGCTGGAAATTCTGAACGCATAAATGATATTACGCCTGTTACAAGATCACATGGACAACTGAGTATGTAAGTACATCATACAGACAAAATCTAATGGAGCTTAAAAGGATACTATATAATTCATATTCGACCAATTCCTGACCTAGATCTGATCACTGGGGCAGAATCCATCAATGCCTGTCATCTGTAAGTTCTTTCAGGTTTTCCTTAACTTTCTAAATATAACACCTACGAAGTAATGGGGACTGGCATCTGAACAAGGACCTGACCTCCTGACCCTCCCCCTCACCGTGTGTCCCTCCCCCTCCTGGTCACCCCCAGGTTAGATACAGTAGAGGTATAGGGGGTGCTAAATGAAGGCCTACTGTGCCTTCTTACTGGAGGGTTAGAACTCCAGGAGCTGCTTACAGATGCTAGATGCCATGTCAAATATGGTATAATACTGTATTTGCCATATTATTAAAGTGCCTCGGCCACTCCTAGACCAATCTGTGAGCCATCACACCCATGTAAGACCAAACATTTACATGGCAGTCCATATTTTCGTGTATATTACAGATTTTTTTACACAATATCTATAGCAATACAGAAGAGAACATAATTCTCTGGTAACTGTTACTGAAACACTGTTTCATTGATGTCATACTGAGTTTGTTCACCACAGCTCGATCTCTGACAACAATTTTAACTTGTGAAAGCTAATAGCTATTTAAGTTTCATTAAGACCAAAGTTAAACAAACTTTTCTTGACCTCTTTAAAACCATTTCGAGGAAATCAATGCTATCACAGATAACCTAAGCGAAGTCAAATATCTATCTGAAACTGCTCCAACCCTTTTAACATCTTGCCTGAGCATATAACACCGGGAATCCATTCTAGTTGAAAAAGGGCTTAACATTTTTGTCAATCTGTATTACCACACGAGAACTGCATGCTTATCTGAATGGAGAAGAAACGTTAAACTGAGGCGTGTTTAATGAGGCATGGTGGGGGTGAATGAAGAGTCTCGCTAGGATGGGCTCTACATCATAGACTACACTATTATAAGGTAATAGTTCAACTGACAGGGCGACCTGCTTGTACAGACTCGGCTACCATTTCATGCTCCAATAGTTCCGAGATAAGTCAATCTCCGCCTGAACAATCACTAGTGTTTATCTAAAAAATACATTTACAGATCAGTTAAGCACTGTTTATAATTAACTTTTTCACATATAGATTCATTATTGAAAGTCTGCCCGAGGAGAGGAGTCGCTTGGTCGTGTCATCCAAAAGACGTTAAAAGATGGTACTTGTTGTTACCCTGCCTGGTGCTCAGCATTAAGGGGATTAAACAAGGACTGGTTTGCTCAGAGTCAGTATACTGTGCCCAAGTGGGGTATCTCAGTGGGCTAGCACCAAAACACCAGCATTAAGTCGGAACTAGTACATTCAGCCACACACACACATATGCATGCACGACTGCACATAGCTATGAGTGAAATAATCTTGAACACAACAATAAACCCCATTTCACCTCACCTCATTATTCAAAACTCAAATAACAATATGCAACTACAAAAAAAGGCTCCTCCTCCAGAGCCCTTTCTGTGGTTAAGGAAGTATGCAGCTACTGACCTCCGATGACCTGACCTAGATATCAGCTGATTTACCCATCATGCTGTCATCATCCCAGCTCATCCCAGCTGTGATGCTATTGTTTCCAGATAGTTCTGAGAGCTGCCACCAAAATGCCATGTTCTCTTATCAAATTGATAATCCCCCAAATATTACATTACCAAAATATCAGCCCAGTGAAATATCATATTAACACCCAAATATGGTGTTTGACCATGAGCTAGTATGAACAGCTAACCGATATTGGTTGCATTTTTATGAGACCAGAATCCGGACCAGGAATACACGTGATGAAATACAGTACCCCTTGGGGAGTCTGGCTGTAGGTCCTCTTCATAAATGATACCCACAAGGCCGAAATATATTTGTGTTTTGGCAGAGAAGCCCTCAACTGATGGTGTTAGTAGGTAGGCCAAATGGTTTATTATTTTTTTTAAATATACTTTTTATGACCAGTTACATATGTGAGGAAAACACAAACAGTGCCATTATGATGATGTCATGTTACAATGTGTGACTGTGTTGTTACAATGTGTGACTGTTGTTACAAAGGGTGACTGTGTTGTTACAATGTGTGACTGTTGTTACAAAGTGTGACTATATTGTTACAAAGTGTGGCGTTGTGTCAATGTACCCAAGGACATTGATAATTGCTCATGCTTTCAAACACCAGTTTTCCTTGCCCAGAGTTTTCAGGCTGCCATGACACAGCTTGACTTTCACCGTGGTAAAAAACGTCACCACTCACCTAGCTCCTTGCACAAGCTGATGACAGCAGCGAAAACTCGAGAAGAAAAGTCAACACGAAGTTCCAAAACTTGCAAGTCAGGTAACTGCACTCGAAGATTTTTGTGCATTGGTGTGAAATGGAGGCGTGCATCGGCCTGGACATTGTACTGGTCTAGAGTTGACCGTGTGCGATCCAACCACATGTTCTTTTCCGGCCACCATAATAAGTGATCTGACCAATCCAAGGCAATATCTGAAAGAAACAATGACAAGTATTAGATGGATCTATGACGAACAGGAATACAATTCATCCTTCAATCTTTCCTATAACCAGATGTTTGTGTCGTAACTCAAACTGCACATCTCATCTCATAGCTGATTGGCTGTATACATGTAATGAAACATAATGTGAATAAAGCCACCAACCCTTTCCATATCCAATAGTGAGTGAGTGAGTGAGTGAGTTGGGTTTGACGCCGCTTTTAACAGTATTCAAGTTATATCAAGGCGTGTCAGCTTAATGTGGGAGGAAAGCCCGAAGTGATGCAGGTCTCAAACGTTTACCACTTCGGTGAAAACCCACGAGCACGGGTATGGTGCTGACAAACCTAGAAACATAATTGGGGAGAACTGGGATTCGAACCCACAATCATAGGTTTCTGGCGTGCCCAAGGTACGCAACTCTGCACAGCGAATCGCGGCGCCTTAGACGACTGGGCCACCCATGCCCCCCGATATCCAATAGAAATCTCTGCATAAAGCAGAGTCGAGTGTACAATTCTGACTATACCAGGAGCATGTGTTTATGAATTACTGTCAAATAGTAATGAAGCCAGGTGTCCGCAAAAAGGTTAGCATATCCTGCGCCTAGGTGGCACCCATCACAAACACATACAAAGGCAAATCAATTGTTCAGCTCATGATGTCAATCACTGGATTTCTGGTCCAGACTTGATTATTTACAGACGGCCGTAATCTAGCTGGAATATTGCTGACAGCGTCGTTAAACAACAAATAAACAAACAAACAAAACATCAAGCACTACATAGAATATTTGATTTTCATTGACATGACTTTCTTGTTAGTTGGTTATGAAAACAAACGTCTCATCTTTCTCACTTCTTTTAATTTAAGTAGCATGAATGCAACGAGGAAGAAAGAAGACACATTTTTCACCCTCTGACAAGTTCATTAAGTAGAAAATATGCGCCACAGCTCCTAACCGCAAAATGAAACATAAATTGATCGAAAAATGATTTCATATCCAACCCGTACTCATCTCCCCTGGTGTGGCAGTCAATATAAAATATTGGGGGTTGACAAGTACAAGTCATGTTTCTTCATTACCTCACGGTGTGACATGACGAACATGACACTGCCTCAACAACACTGTTGATCTCCCTATGAGGGAAGGTTGTTAATGATGTTAAAAGGCTAACAACGATTGCTAATTGTGATGCATACTTGGTGCAAAAGTATTTACAGGAGATTGAGTGGCGCCAAATACTTTCCATTTAACTCTCATGATACACATTTGTTGACAAAATCAACAAAATTTTATCTTTACAAGATAACCTACATCTCAGGTTGCCAAAACATGACAAAGCATTTGAACTACGCCATTTAAATTGTTTTTTCGTGACTGTCAAATCCTATTCAGACATTTATAACACCAGGACATGAATACAACAATAAAAAACAAACATATTTGACACCGAAAGCTACAAAGCTACACTCAGGTGATACATACAAAACACTTTAAACCCATATGAGTCATCCGTCTTTATTCATAAATCTTTTAAGTTGTGAATCAGCTCTTGAGAAATCAAGTAACAGCAGTGTAACATTTTCCTTACAACTACCTCACATACACTGCAATCAATATTGTCATCTGCCAGACGAGAAACAGCTCCACTTGTCAAAAACGTAATCGACAAACGGAAGCAGAACAACAGGATCACCAGCAGCAAAGTCTTAAATGAAACACATTTTTCTATGTATCCATTACCTCACATTTAGAGAATACAGCGCAACAAGCCTGGTACAGTTAATAGGACAACACTACCTGAAGTCAAACAAACCCTTTGGGAGTTGAATCAATAAACTGTCTTTAAGAAAGTAGTATTTGATACAAAGATTCTTCAGGGTTATGTCCCCTGTGTATGCTCATTGTGATGGAGTGCTATTATCATCTAATAGTCTGTGTTCAAAGGGAATTGTATTTCAACCATCAATACCAGATTCTGCCTCAAAGGAGTTTAAAGCTTGAAGTTTTGTAATGTGAAGTTTAACTGCTAATTTGTATTTTAACTTGTTCATGTTAGCTTCATTTCCATTTGTATTTGATAATAGTGTTCATATGGGTGCATGCTACGACATATCACATTTATCAATATTATTATTAATATTTCATCAAAACCCCAATGACAGTAATCCTAATCTATAGAACATAAAGGTTTGAGGATAATTCTTTTACAGGCATTCTCATTATTCAGATTTATAGGAGAGAAGAAGGATATATTTATTTGCACCATGCTGTGAGGTTAATAATCAGAAGTTGTAGATAGGGTATTGCTATAGCTCAGTGCGTCCCAATCATGCCTTGACATGCAAGGCGACCACACGACACTGCCTATTTCCCAGCGCCATGCAGCGCCACTCCACACACAAGATGATCATTTACCAGTCTGTCAATACACCTCCGCAGGGGGCGGCACAACACCTCCAACAATCCCACCTCTCCATTCTTCCAGTTGTCATGGATTGCTGGACTATGAAGCTGTCGGATGAGACAGGATCACTGACAACGTTCCAACTAGTCATGGAGTGAGTGAGTGAGTGAGTTGGGTTTAACACCGCTTTGAACAGTATTCAGTTCTGTCACAGTGCCTGCCATGGACAAACCAACTCTACCACAACAGTGGGTCAGAAGGTCACATGTTTAAGTATTTCAATATAGGAAAATCAGAGCTCAAGGCCTTATCAGGTTTTATTCTTAATTTCAAACACAAGTATTGTTTTATAACAGTTTGTGAAGTCAACCTGTGGTTTGAGGTTTACTTATATAAGTCCTTTCCTTGAAAGTTGCAATGACTTTCTAAATAGTTGTCATCCACTTTAGACAACCTGATGCTAAACCTGCCAATGTGAAAATCGTTATTCTCAAACAGTGGAAGTCAGGGACAGTGGTCCCCAGTGTATGTCCACCTGGTCACACCCACTCTCAAGGAGGAAAACTCATCAGTATTCTGCAGCAGTCTACAAGGTACATGTCATGTATTAGCAGAACTATTAACCTTTCTCAAGGACCGGGCTATTCTCTTGGTATGCTCACAATCCATCATCTGTCAGAGTACTCTCTGTCCAACCCTTTTACCCCACATGAAAATACACACACTGAAATCCAGGAATTCATCCATCTCCTCCAGCATCTTCAACTGCTGACATATTGACTGCTAAAGCATAACAGTACAGAACGCCATTAAGATCACAAGCAGCCATTAGTTAAGAGCGAGTGAGCTCTGATTTACGCCGCTTTTAGCAATATTCCAGCAATAGAACGCCGGGAGACACCAGAAAAGAGACCTTAAGTGTGACGAGCGAAAGCTTTAACCACTAGGCTACCACAGCGCCCCCATTAATTAAAACGAACATGGAGCGAGCGAGTGAGTGAGTGAGTATGGTTTTACACCGCTTTTAGCAATATTCCAGCAATATCATGGCAGGGGACACCAGAAATGGGCTTCACACATTGTACCCATGTTGGGAATAGAACCAGGGTCTTCAGCATGATGAGAAAACACTTTAACCACTAGGCTAACCCACCGCCCAAGACAAACATGAATCATAGCTGTTCTTCTCACCGAACTAAATTGTCTTGAAGTAGTGACCGAAACAATATTGTCACTAACAATAATCCCAACCAGTACCTGACAGTACACTGACACCCCTAGAATATGACCTTGAGAGTGTGAAGCCATGAAGTCAGGCCACTGGGTAAATTGCCTGACTGTAGTTGGTCAGTAATTGGCTATATTACTCTGATATCTTGGGGGGAGAAGGGTAGGGGAGAATGGGTCATCAGGTGTCTTGACAACTACTTATCAGTTTGGACGCTGCCAGATAAGTGTTGACAGGAACAGTCGCTGCCTGGGCCGGATCACAGATGCAGTAAGATGGTGGCTATCTCCTGGGGATTCATCATCAGACAGCAAACAATTACCTATCAGGGTGGATTAGCCCTTGTTATCAGGTTTTTGACAACAAAGCCAGCAACTTGGACAGGACAAATCTGCTCAACGGTTGGTCAGTAATTGGAGGTTTTTAACTTGTCAGGTCAAATACTTACTAGACCGTGACTTTTATTGTTTGGGAGTACAGGCTTCATAAACATCATGTCAGTCTTGATTTTCTCTTGTTCTCCGATATACCTGTGAGAATTTACTGTGGACATCAGGGGACTTGTCATTTGTTTGATGCTGTTGTGTCAGTGGACGTTTGACATCTGCTCTGTCCGATTATTCAATAAATAACTGTGTGTTCAGTCAATGTGCCAAGAATATAGGCTATACATATATTGGCCATTTCATTTGTTGTTGTAGGGTTGAGGGTTGGGTGTTTGGGAGGATGAGGATGGAGGTCAGGGGGAAGGGTGAGGGGAATGGGGGCGGGGGCAGTGGAGGATTAGGTAGGGTTGTTTAGGGGTTGAGGTAGGGATGTGGGTCAGTGATGCAGGGTGATGGAGTGAATGAGAGCTGGGTCGGTGTGTGTGGGTAGAGGGGTGGGGAGTGAATGAGAGCTGGGTCGGTGTGTGTGGGTAGAGGGGTGGGGAGTGAGGGTTGTATGTATGTGGGTGTTGGGTTGGGGAACACGGCATGGAAGCCATCTCACCATAACAGGTTCAGTAACACAGTGTTAACATAAGCATCTCCACGGGATACAGCGTTAAAACTTTTTAACATCATTCAGCAGACAACAAAGATAAGACATGAACAACGATGTGTCTTCATCCCCTCACTGCAAGACCATACAACACAGTATCACCACCAGGCAACTCCACAACTACAAAAGCCAGCTTCATGGTGATGCAGTCAGCAGATCCCCTACATGTACACATGTCTCAGCCTCCACAGATGATTCTAACTGATCTGGGCTATTTTGGGTAGGAAATCCGGAAGTGCCAACTGTCGAGCTGATGAAGGAGTTTCATCTAATCGCTACCTACAGGCAGCCCAGATATGCTGGAAGAGCTAC